AACTTTTTTAAATAAATTTTTATTATTTATTGAATTAAGTACTCCTAATTAAAACATTAGTCTAAATTAGGCCCACAAAGCCTAATTTAATTATTAGTTAAATAAAAATTAGTTTTTTATTAAATGATGTAATATTTATTAAAAAAAATTTTTATTCATTAAATTAAGTAGGCCTAATTTAAAAATCAGTTCAAATTAGGCATACGAGGCCTAATTTAATTATTAATTAAATATAAATTAGTTTTTTATTAAATTATGTAATATTTATTATTTTTTTATTAAATTAAGTAGGCCTAATTTAAAAATCAGTTCAAATTAGGCATACGAGGCCTAATTTAATTATTAATTAAATAAAAATTAGTTTTTATTAAATTATGTAATATTTATTATTTTTTTATTAAATTAAGTAGGCCTAATTTAAAATTTAGCGTATAAGGCCGCACCTGTAGGCCGCTCACTTGACGCTTGATGTGCGCGAGAGAGTCGGACGAGTAGGACATGTTCGCGAACACCAGCCTCTCCTCGTAGTCATATTCACACAGGATCTTGTTCTCACACAGGTAGAACCTGTCGCCCACACAGAACCTGCGGCACACAGCAATGTAGTTCTTAGTTACATGTATATTAGTACATATGAAAGATAGCAATGCAGTTCTTAGTTGTGTGGATATTACTACATATGAATTATACAGTGCAAGAGGTAGAACCTGTCACCCACACAGAACCTGCGGCACACAGCAATACAGTTCTTAGTTACATGGATATTATTACATTTGAATTATACAGTACAAGAGGTAGAACCTGTCACCCACGCAGAACCTGCAGGAATAAAGTTCTTAGTTGTATAGATATAATTATATTTGGATGATATAGTGTGACAGATAGAACCTGTCGCCCACGCAGAACCTGCAACACATTATTAAAATGGTTCTTCTTCAAATAATTATCATTATTATAGCAAAACTTCTGAATGATACAGTGAAAAATAAACGATGCTGGTTGCCCCAGCAAAATTTGTTATCGTTTTATTATTATATTATTCTATATTAAAAATATTATAAATGTACAAGATCATTTTACATCATTTTTTCCATCTGACGAATGGACGATGCAATATAGCGCAGAGATGGTGACAAAGTTTGCATCGAAAATTATTTTTATTCCGATGAATATTACATCACTTGATATGTAGACAATATATGTATAAAATAGAATATTATTTGCAATAAAATAATATGAATAATTTAAATATACAAGGTTCCAATACGATGCCTAATGAAAAAGAACTTAGATGAAGAGGTTCATTTCTCCATCAAAGTAATGAAATTAAATGCTTCGGAATTTTTATTGAAATAATTACTCCCCAATATTGCCTAGTATAAACATATGTTTAATATCTTATAATTAATTATATCTTCCATGTGAATCCTGATTGCGATTCTTCTTAAAGATTAAATAATATCAGAACTTAAGGGCATGAATGATATTTCCAGTATACTATTAATAATCTAGCATATTAATAATAAACCAGCATATTAATAACAAACTAGCATATTAATAATAATCTATTATAATAATAATCTAGCATATTATTAAAAATTTAGGATAATAAAAACAATCTAGTATATTAATCATAATTTTTTATATTATTAATAATCTAACATATTTTCAAGACATTATGGCAAACTGAAATTATAAAAATGACAACCAAAGTGAAGGCGAAGATGAAGAAACGGAAGACAAAANCCCCGCGTCCCCGCGGGTGCCGCCATATCACTTAGTTTGATGAGCTCTAATTAGGCTGAAGCAGCGCGGGATTCATTCATCCGCTAATGCAGCCCCAGCCTGGGGGGAGGAAGGGGAGGAGAGGTGGGTGAGGAAGAGGGATAAGGAAAGGTGGTGGGGTTGGGGATGCAGCCCCAGCCTTGAGCCTGGGGGAGGAGGGGACGAGGATGAGGCGAGAAAGAGGGATAGAGAGAGGTGGAGGGGTTGGAAGTACAGCCCCAGCTTGGGGAGAGGACAGGTAAGAGAAGAGGAGAGGGCTGGGGAAGGGAGGGAAGGACGATGAGGAGAGAAGAAGAAATGAAGGACGGAGAATAGAAAAGGAAAAAAGGTGTGGATTAGAGTTTGAAAAATGAGTGGGCTATGAGGGTGAAGGTGGGTGTAAATGAGTGGGGCGAGGAGAGTGGGAACGTATATTTCATTGTAATATTTTCCTGGCTGCATATTGCTTCTTCCTTAATTCCTCTTTTCAATCATTCTTGCAATTTACATTCCTGTTTCTATGTCTTAAAGAAACCTCTTCCTTCGGTAAAGAGGAAGAACCTTCATTAAAAGGTTGTCATTATAGATAACCTTAAAGAGAAGGCTCTCTTTAAAGGACCTTCTTAAAACATTGAAAACTTTATTTAACCTGCTTCAGCTACTAAAAGGTATCGTTCCCGATTTAAGATCCACATTCCTTTTGTACAGAACCCTCTTCTAATTTTGAAGAACTTACTTATGTACCTTCTTGAAGAGCCAGCTTTCCTTGGAAATGAACCCTTCTTCCTGAGCAAAAAAGTTATATTTCTCATGTACAGAACTCCCTTCCTCCTCTAACAACCATTTTCCGCGAGAACTGAACCTCCTTCTCCCCATTGAGAACTCCTGTCCTCCTTAATCTAGAGTGGTTCATGAACCCCTCTATCATCCCTCTAAAACCCTTGTCTTCCTTTGTAGTCAAATTCGCATAAGAACTTGAACCATTGTCCCGCCTAATAAATCTTTGTCTTCTGTCACAAATTCACTTTCCCATCTCAATATCCCTTTTCCCCATTTAAAGAACCACTTTCACCCATCAGAACCCAAGTCCCCATGTAAAGGACCCCTTTCACCCTTCAGAACCCCAGTCCCCGACCCAGGTGTACCCCCTCTTCACATGTCAACTCGCCAGGCTTCAGATGGCGCATGGCGACCAGGTTTTCTTTTGCCGTCTTTTCTTCTTTTTTCGCGTGTTTTATTCATGTTTATTTATATTTATTCATGTCTTCTTCGTGTCCGAGTTTGTTATCCATGTTATCGCCGTGTTCTCTTCTCACGATCGTTTGATAATCCCTTCCCCAGCCGCGGGGTTGCAGGAAAAATAAGATGGAAAAGGATAAGAAAAAGGAATCAAAAAAGGCTCCCAGCAACCGAGTCCTCGCAAAAATGGATCCAGTAACTCCAAGAAAATATATTGAAAGGCGAGAACAATTTAATATTTTTATAATGAATTCTGTTGATGAAAATATATAGCGAATTAACTTCACAATATTGAATAAATAGTGAAAACGCGCGAATGAAATAACTTTAACATTATGAGACTTGATTAATGAGCTCTTTAACATCGCGATTATTGGGACCAATTAATAACACGATTAATGGGATCCATTGACATCTTGTCGATATTTATGTTCGTCATGCTAGGGGTGCATATAATTAATTTGGTGCAGCTGGCGCAGGTGCAGGCTCCTACAACAGGTGTTAACACAGCAGCAGGTGTTGCGAGCCTTATTTGCTGATAACTGCAGAACAAATGCAGCAGCTGCAGCAACACATGCAGCAGCTGCAGCAACACATGCAGCAGCTGCAGCAGCACATGCAACAGCTGCAGCAACACATGCAGCAGCTGCAGCAGCACATGCAGCAGCTGCAGCAACACATGCAGCAGCTGCAGCAGCTGCAGCAGCTGCAGCCGTCATGCGAGAAAGACGGCACTCAAATCAATGTCTTTGAGGGCCGAGGGAAAGATACGAGGGAAGGGGTGAGGGAAGGGGGGATGAGGTGGAGACTATAACGAGGATAGAGTGAGGGGTAAAAGAGGGGAGAGTGGAGGAGGGGAGAGGAGGTAAGAGAAGGGGGTGGGGGATTGCCATCACTTCGTAATCCTGATATGCCTAATCTGTCTAATGCTCTGGTCGTGCTGTGAGGGGAACGAGGGGAGGGGTGGGAGTGATGGGAGAGGGTAGGAAGAGAGGATATGGGAGGAGAGTGAGGAGATTGAGGAGGAGAGGGAGAAGATAGAGGAGGAGAGGGAGGAAAATGAGGGAACAGGAGAGGAGGAAGGGCATGGTACGAGAAAGGAGGGGAAGAGGAGGTAGGAGAAGCGAGGGAAGAGAATGAGGGGATGATGGGGAAAGTGAACGCGGGTTGAGTATAAAGGGGAAACTATACCCTCTCTGGTCTATAAATATAATTAGAAATTAATTTTAAATATTGTGTTGAACAGAAAACAGATTCTCCTTTGATTGCGGATACCCAAACTTTTAAATTCCTCATTATTAGTAAAAATACGGCTAAGAACCCATATTATAGATAAATTATCTTAATTGCTAATGTTATCACTGAACTTCTTCCTACTACTTCTGGTGTCTTTAAAATAACATAATGATTATATTATATAAAAGTAATTAATAAACAACTCCCCATGATAGTTCCAGTTATCCACAGGTTCCCTCTCTATTCCTAGCAAATCCCCACGGCAATCACATGCCCTCTCCCCTCTTGCCCTCTGATCCTGCCTGGGAGAGGGGAGAGGGGAGAGAGAGAGAGGGGAGAGGGGAGAGAGGGAGAGAGGGAGGTCCTGCCCCATGGAGGTTAGGCTTCCCAGCCCGTTGGGGTTATCCAACCCCCTCAACCCCCTGGAGGGGTTGAGACCTTTTAATGGATTAGTCCGAAGATATTTGGGTGCATCAGGAGTCTGTGGCACGGACACAACACGCCACACGCCCATTGTATAGTGGCCACATTGTGGCACATGTGGCATTGGTGGCAGTTGGGATTTCTAGTCCCATTGTGGCATGAGAATCTCTGGTCGCATCTTGGATAAGAAGCAAAGCATTAATTGTAAAGAATGAGGTACTACCCTCACTATACCCTCACTATACCCTCACTATACCCTCACTATACCCTCACTATACCCTCACTATACCCTCACTATACCCTCACTATACCCTTACTATACCTAAAATGATTTAACCAAAACCCTTAATATACCCTCACTTTAACCATCATTATATCCTCAACATAACTTAATTATACCCTCACTATATTAGCAGCAGCTGTTGTTCTAATAACAACCACAGCCACAGCAGCAGCTGCTGTTATATGAACAGCCCCAGCAGCAGCTGTTGTTCTAATAACAGCCACAACCACAGCAGCAGCTGTTGTTATATGAACAGCCATAGCAGCAGCTGTTGTTCTAATAACAGCCACAGGCACAGCAGCAGCTGTTGTTATATGAACAGCCACAGCAGCAGCTGTTGTTCTAATAACAGCCACAGCCACAGCAGCAGCTGTTGTTCTAATAACAACCACAGCCACAGCAGCAGCTGCTGTTATATGAACAGCCACAGCAGCAGCTGTTGTTCTAATAACAGCCACAGCCACATCAGCAGCTGTTGTTCTAATAACAGCCACAGCAGCAGCTGTTATCGCAGGGAAAACAACGAACTATAAAAAGCTCGGAAGAATCAGCTGCATTAACAAAGTCCCAACAAATGTTCTTGGAACAGATGTCTAGCAGCTGCATTGTACATTACACAGCTGTACAGCCATGTGTCGCA